ATATATATATATATATATAGGCCTATATAAATATATATATATAATATATATATATATATAAAATATATTTATAAAACCACAATTTGAAATAGATCTCGAACGTTTTCGACCATAGGTCTTTCTCAAGTGGTTATATATTTATATATCCTTGTGGTTTTTGTACCATTGAACATTGAACATACAGTACCTGATGCTGACCACAATTGTCTACGATAACTGATAATTCAGTTTTGAAAGCATCTAACCGAATGTAAGGTCAATTGCAAGTCGTAAAGGTGTACAACACAAGAAAACCTTGATTGCTCATTCAATGACTGTGTTGGGGAAGGGAGCTGCTATGTATTCGAAACGACAACTGTACAGGCTTACAAGGAAACTGCTTTTACAACACCTCGATTTTAACCATGTTTGGTTTTCATTCATTATGTTTCTGTGGATCAGTGCCACGTGATGTGTCCTGTTACAGGCGTATTCCTTGAATTTCTATCCCTAATTAATTTTAATTGGTGATACTTGACTTATTGAACTTTATTGAAAAAACACAACAACGCAGATATACATAACTCGACAGTTAATGAACAAATCAATCAATCAACGAACCAATGTACTGTATTATTCATTTAATCAATCAATCAATCAATCAATCAATTAAAGACACTTACGGTACCTCACAGGTGTCCCCTCAATTGTATACACGAACAGATTATGCCTTATGGCTACATTACGGTAAGAAGGAAGTCTATGATATATTTTATTATTCATTAATTAATTGATTTCATCAAATTAACAGTGTCCCACTTATTGAACTTCAATCACAACTTTTGCATTTCTTTCGCCTGCCAACAAGATTTATAGAACTTTTATTGTTGTTTTGCGCTGTAGCAGGTTTTGAAACTGAATCAGAGTAGTCACCAAGAGACTATATGAGGAATGTTACTAGATGACCTGAATTCAGATTCCAGTTCATAATAAACAATTTTAGTGAAGGTGCCAATGTACAGTAGTACAACTCCTGACTAAATTACTGCCAGAATAATGATTCACTGATTATGTGAGTGTATTTTAAAGCATTCCGAAAGATTTTTTAAAAATTATTATTATTGTTTGCCATTACGCCCCAGTTATACATTAATACACTGGAGGCCATTCTATGGACTAATTGGAAAGCTATACATCGGCCCCCGGGCCGTACAAAAGAATTTCACATTGATAGAAAGAAGGCCTAATGATATTTTTATGCATTAGGGCGTGTGCCACATGGCCGCATCAAAACTAAAATAGGCTACAGTTATCTCGCTATAATACCGTACCCGATATGATGTTGAACCATTGGAGATATCAACATTTAAATATAGGAGACTATTAGATTGGTAATGGTGTCCCTAATATTATAACGAAAGCGAGAAGATTATTATTATTATTATTATTATTATTATTATTATTATCAGAAAAGAGAGAACTTATACTTACTGTATAGTGGCATTGTAAATTATACCTAGTTAGGCATAAGCACACTGATGTCACATTCAGAAGTAAACTAAAAATATCATGTTCACGAAGTTACAGTCGATTTGTTACACTGAAATTTAATAACGATACAAGAATTTAATTTTCGTCTTTTTTCTTCATGTGTAGGCCTTATTATCATTCCAATAACAAACTTATTGTACGTAGAAATGGTCTCCAGGTACAAGCCTCTCCCGACCTTTGGAAATATATAGGCCTACATCCACCTTGTATGTATGAGCATAGAGAAATTATTGTGTTGAAATATAGTCTTGGCTAAATAAAGTTCTGAATGAATAAATTAGTGAATGAATGAATAAAAGAATTGATGAATGAATACCGTTAGTAGTTTGTTATGTAGGTTTCGCCAAGAACAGCCAAAATCCTATATTCACAGTACAGAAAAGACGTCGGAATTGTCATTTAAAAAAGTAAATAGAGATATCTATTGAAACCAATGATTTTAGGAGATCATTTCTGTTTTAACATCCAGATATTCGAAAGGTAAGGGGTTTATTTTGAAAATGACGTGATACTGCCATAACAGTCTGCATAAAATCACAACCCACCCATATTATCCTAATGGATAATATTATCCATCCTAATGGATAATATGACGATAGTGAAGTATAGTGATGATGATGATAATGGTAATGCGGTGAGGATAATAATTAATTATGATCAAAAGAAGATGGCTACTGATTCATTACATGATCTAATCAGGACAAATGATACCGTAACTCGCGGTTTTTACTTGTTCGTCAGAAGATTGGAATGCAGCTATTATTTTCTCGCTATGACGTGCCATTGTCTTCATTATAATTTATATACCGGTAGTGCACGAAAGTGACTCATTGAATACGCCTCTGCCATAGGATTCGGTATACTGTACAATGTATAAATCATAGTCGTTTTTGTGCTGGCGTTTGCATCGTCATTTAATATTTGGCCTACATGGTATATGTGTTTAAATTACCATACTTATCATAAATATAGGACTATTCTCTTTTTTAAATTTCTATATCATATAGGCCCTATTACTGTAAGCGGCATTCAGCCCAGCACTGAGAGGGAGAGAGAGAGAGAGAGAGAGAGGGTAGCATCAAATTTGGAGAAACTCATCTAAATACCCTAAATTTTGGATGAAGTGTAAAATCGACATCTATATCTAAAAGACCAGCTTTTGGGACTTTATCCCCCAATCTAAGAAAATATAATACATATAAACTAAATTATGGCCAATGCTCATCCAAAATTAATTAATAACCATCACTTTATAGTTTTAAAACCGCTTTTATAAAGTTTCTGATCTCTGTGTATGGTGACTATAATCCACATTTATTTTTTGTACAGTATTACAGTAAATTAAATCATGGAGGTATATTATACCTCCATGCTTAAATTATGTTACGAAGGATAAACTTTCTTTGATACGTAATATGCCTAATCCTTTTATCTGGAACTATAAATTTATCTTTTAAGACATTGTTTTGTTATTATTGTTTTTATTATTTGTTTTATTGATAATATTGTTATTGATATCATGGTTATTTTTTTTACTGTTATATATATATATATATATATATATATATATATATATATATATCATAAAGTGTATTTTAATTATTACCTGTATGTAAGTACAGTAATTCCATTTCTGTATCGGGGGTGGGGGGCTATAGCTAAAGGTAGTTGTGCATTACACTTCAAACTCATATAGCCTTCTTCCACTCATATTAACTCGGCGATGTTGTTACCATAGGCCTATGTATAGTTTATTGGTATTTTGTATGAGGTGGAAAATAAAGATTCTGATTCTTATTTTGTCTCCTGACCTTTAAATGCTTGGGTAGCTTAACAGTCTGAGCCTAACGTCACTCGGTGGCCCTGGTATATAAGTGGCGGATTCAAGGGGGATTCAAAATTTTGAGAAAAAAAGATAATTATCTTCAAATTTAAGTCTAAGAATGCCATTTCTAGCCATCTAGAGGTGCCATAATCGTAAATTTTCTTGCCTCAGCCCCAGCCATGGTGGGCCTGAGGTGGATAGTCCCTCCATCTGTCAATGTCCCTTCCTGGCCCCCATTCAAATTATTGGATCCGCCACTAGCTAATTTTAGACTATGTAATTATTATTTTCATCAACATTACTGTAGGCCTAGGCCTATGTTTTTTAGAGATTGTCAGTTAAGCTTTTCTATTTATCTTTTATAGCTTTGCCCGGTACTTGTAAAACATGCTGTTTGAGATGCGCGTTCCCAACATTGATGAACTTTATACTTCTTGTCAGCGGGGTTGTTGTCTTTGGCATCTTCTCCATATTGTCTGGAGTCGGGATTCTCGACATGGTTGAACCAGATGAATCTGATATAGTTGAAGTTGAGGTGCCACAAGACCTCTATGACTCCTTGCAACTATGGTAAGTGTTATTTGCGTGCTAAATCCGTCCCGTCCGGTGTCTTGCACGGTATCCTGCGTCTGAAATTGTCACTCTCTCCTTGTACGACTCCTTGCAACTCTATTCTTCACTGTAAAAACAGCGAGGAACATTTCAACACGAAGCTCCACGCAATGGTCTATTTTTGGTGACACGTTTAAAGGCTAAACGTTTAAAAGCCAGGCCTAATGTGCTTAGGAACTTGACGTGTTTAGCATTAGATGTGCTTAATTATTTGTCATCATGATGTCAAATGTCAAATACCTAAGTACATTAAATGCTAAACACATCAAGACCCTAAGTACGTTAAGTATATACGAATTGATCACCCTTCAGTCCAAGCCTCAATAAATTATAATTACCAATACCAGGACGCCCAAGCATGATCTCAAAGCACCAAGGATAACCCACCGCCCGGAAGTCTTAACAATTTGAGCGATGCCTCACCACGCCCAATTTGCTCTCGTCGGGTACATCGGTCCCTCGTCGGGGACCTCGGTCCTTCCTTCGGGGACCTTGGCGCCACCCGTTCCTTCTGCACTCATCTACTCTTTTTCGAATAGGGTCTGCGTGCTTTTACGTACACAAGGATCACATTGCACACGGGAACAACGGCTTAAACGTCTCATGCGAAAGGTGGTGGGCTTTAAAACTTGTATTTCCCTCCATCTGAAACAAGGAAGAGCAGCGATGGGGATTGAACCGGGGACCAAGGAAAGGGGTCTTCATGGTTCAGCGCACATACAATGGCTACCATTTAGCCGACCGAGCTAAGCTGCTTTTCGACTAGCTTACAGTAGGCATACTTATCAAAATACTTACATGATTCAATTTCATCTTTTAGGCACCGCATCGTCAAATGGGTCGTGGGATCTGAAATAGCTTTGATGGTTATCGTCGCCATTGTAATGTTGGCACTTGGTTACTTAGCAACTGGTTCAGTCAGAAAAGAGTTCATGTGTAGATTCAAGTCAAAAACATCCGGGAGGTGTCAGTTAGCTGTGGTAAATATTAGCTCATGCATTTAATGGTATCACCTTCAAATCCCTCGCAATTCAATGGCGAAGTGTTATATATAAAATGAATTTCAAGATACGGAAATAACCAATATTGATTTTAGTATATACCGCCATGGTATAATGAAGGGAAATGTTTGTTCGTGTTGGCCCGCAATCATGTAGACATTCTATTTTATACTTGTGATTGTTTTTAAACAATCGTCACATAATACCTTATAAATCCCAAAAAATTTTTCTTATTATGATTAAACCAAATGTATTGGTAGATCTACTCTCATGTTTATTTTATTCTTTAATTAAACTAGTGTGTGGTATCTTTTTAGAATCCGAGGGTGAAAGCCAACAGTGCACGGCGCCCTAGAACACCGTCTAGAAGCTCCGGTTCAAATCCCAGTAGAGTTAAAATTTGTTTCTGTTGGAATAGAACGTTTTCATCGAATTTATTCACTGTATTAATTTGTTTCTATTTTAGTTCATGCTCATCGTATATTTCCTATGGTTTGTGTGGTTGTTGCAGTCAGTTTTCTTTACCGTTCCGGTCCTTCCTTCGGGGACCTTGGCGCCACCCGTTCCTTCTGCACTCATCTACTCTTTTTCGAATAGGGTCTGCGTGCTTTTACGTACACAAGGATCACATTGCACACGGGAACAACGGCTTAAACGTCTCATGCGAAAGGTGGTGGGCTTTAAAACTTGTATTTCCCTCCATCTGAAACAAGGAAGAGCAGCGATGGGGATTGAACCGGGGACCAAGGAAAGGGGTCTTCATGGTTCAGCGCACATACAATGGCTACCATTTAGCCGACCGAGCTAAGCTGCTTTTCGACTAGCTTACAGTAGGCATACTTATCAAAATACTTACATGATTCAACTTCATCTTTTAGGCACCGCATCGTCAAATGGGTCGTGGGATCTGAAATAGCTTTGATGGTTATCGTCGCCATTGTAATGTTGGCACTTGGTTACTTAGCAACTGGTTCAGTCAGAAAAGAGTTCATGTGTAGATTCAAGTCAAAAACATCCGGGAGGTGTCAGTTAGCTGTGGTAAATATTAGCTCATGCATTTAATGGTATCACCTTCAAATCCCTCGCAATTCAATGGCGAAGTGTTATATATGAAATGAATTTCAAGATACGTAAAAATAACCAATATTGATTTTAGTATATACCTCCATGGTATAATGAAGGGAAATGTTTGGCCCGCAATCATGTCATTGTTTTTAAACAATCGTCACATAATCACCTTATAAATCCCAAAATTATATTTTTCTTATTATGGTTAAACCAAATTTATTGGTAGATCTACTCTCATGTTTATTTTATTCTTTAATTAAACTAGTGTGTGGTATTTTTTTAGAATCCGAGGGTGAAAGCCAACAGTGCACGGTATCCGACGGCGCCCTAAAACACCGTCTAGAAGCTCCGGTTCAAATCCTAGTAGAGTTAAAATTTGTTTCTGTTGGAATAGAACGTTTTCATCAAATTTATTCACTGTATTAATTTGTTTCTATTTTAGTTCATGCTCATCGTATATTTCCTATGGTTTGTGTGGTTGTTGCAGTCAGTTTTCTTTACCGTTCCTGTCGTATTTTTCCTCATACTTAATCGAGGAGTGTGTACCAGAGAAGCGTTGTCTGGCGTCTGTGTGTTTGATCTGTATATGGTTGGTAAGTACAAAATGATTCTTTTCAATATTCACCTAGGCCTCGTTCACACACTGCCTTGTACTTTTTATCCTTGTTTTAGTGTTTATATCAGGGCGCCTAACTTATATCCAATATTTAATATATTTGACCAATATATATTAAATATTGGTCAAATATATTAAATATTGGTCAAAGATATAAGTTAGGCGCCCTGATATAAACAATAAAACAAATATACCATCATTAAGATCAACAATATATAGGCTTACTATAAACTTGAAAGAAAATTGAAATATTAAGCTGCCTTTCTAAATAGTAGTTTTGATGGGCTACGAATTGTGACAGTTTAATTATTCTAGCAGCTCCTTATTTTGGAGATATGGTAGAATCGAAGTATTACAGAATGAGTAGAATACGTTGCAGAATAACGTACTGTAAGTCTGTTAATAATACCAACTGATTTCGACTGAAATCAATCGGTGACTAGTTCACAACTTTGTAAAATTTACCCCATGAAATAAGGTTTCTATTACGTGCAATATATAGGTTAATGAAAAAAGATAATAAAATTGGAATTTAATTTGTAATCCCTCACTCAACAAACAACTTTACCATGTTAATTTAACTTTGTCATTCTGATTTTACTTCATTCCGTCTACCATTAATTATACATTGTTTTTTTCATGATCTTGGTGTTTACAACTTGATACGGTTGAATTACGTATAGATTGACGTATTACAAACTTCACTTTTATTTATTTTATTTATTTATTTATTTAGGCACACAATACATGTGCCAAGGATTGTCAACAGCGAATATATCACTATCCTACTTGTAGGTGACAATCCCTTACACAAGACAAACATACACACACGATGCTTTACACAAACTAAATCTCCATATGAGATTTAAGGAGTGGAGTTGTTTTGGTCGTGAGAAAAAATCCTGCAACTGGCAGGAATTGAACCCAGGACCCTGGGATTGGAAGGCAAGCATCTTAACCACCAAGCTATTCAACTCCACTCCACTTCGTTTAAATAAGATTTCCTATATGGAATCTCTGTACACTGATGATGGCCTAGGCCTAGCAATGGCTAGGCCTCATTAAATTGTTCAGGCATTGCCTGAAATGATCGTTCTCAAAAGTATCGTCATATTTTTGAATTTTATTAGTGGTTTATTGTGTCATCGATCATTTGGTAACAATTTAATTTGTGTATTATGAAAAATTAATATAT